CCCCCCGCCAAGAAACCATCAATGTAGTCACTTCCTCAATAGTTCCACCCAACCTGGATTTCATATACAGGAAAACAAAGAAAACAAAATATAGAAAAACAAACAAACAAAAAACCCCCACTGCACGCTGCCTGATAGCAAGGCTATTCATATCCCTGGTCTATGGTCAGAGGGGATTCACCAGAGGCTTAATCCATGTGTGGGCCTTGCAAATGAATTTTGGGCTTCCACTGTCATCCATAGCTTTCTGCAAAATTGGTGTTCACAATTTAATATGATTGTGAGTTTTGTTCCATATTTTCTTCCATTCTACACAGGACCTTCTAAAACAATCATTTGCAGAGTAGTTGGCAGTGGCAGCCAGGCACTGTCTAGTTCATTAGGCATCACGGAGACTGATATTCGATGACTCAATTTTCCACTGAATCAATTGTTTCCATGTATCATTGATTTCCTTCTCCTTCTTTCCTCTGGATGGGGAGAGATCAATAATTCCACCTTAGATGGCCATTCACAACTCCTAAGTCTCCAGAGGCTACTCAACCTACAAAGTAGGCTGTAGCATATTGCTTTTGTGGTTTATGTTATGATAATCGAACTTCAGGTCTTCTGAGACCATAGTCCTGAGCCCCCAGGTCGAGCTACTCATTCTTTTAAGACATTTGATTATGTCTGAGAAGTTTTCATAAAACTTTGTTCCCTAGATGTTCCACTGTATTCATGGATCTATATACAGCAAAGGTAAAGCTTGTCTTTGTTAGATCCAATTGGCCAGTTCCAACCCATAGAGATCCGATGCACAACAGAATGAAACGTGCCCGGTCCTTGGCCAGACTCGTAATCGTTCCTATGTTTGAGCCCACGGTTGCAGTCCCTGTGTCAATCCATCTTGTTGAGGGCCTTCCTCTTTTTTGCTGCCCCTTCCACTGTACCAAACTTGATGTCCTTCTCCAGGGGCTGATCTCTCCTGATGTGGCCAAAGTATTAAAGACAAAGTCTTGCCATCCTTGCCTCTAAGGAGCGCTCTGGTCATACTTCTGTCTAGACAGATCGGTTTCTCCTTTTCGTAGTCCACGGCACTTCCAATAGTCTTCACCAGCACCACCGCTCAAAGGCATCCATTCTTCTTCAGCCTTCCTTAGTCCAGGTCCAACTTCCACACACATACGAGGCAATGGATCAGGCGCACCTTAGTCCTCAAAATAACGATCTGATTTTCAATACTCTAAAGAGGTCTTGTATCGCAGATTTATCGAATACAACATGTCTTTTGATCTCTTGACTGCGGCTTCCATGAACATTGATTGTGGATGCAAGCAAGACAAAATCCTTGATGACTTCAATCTTTACTCCATTTATCATGATGTTACCTATTGGACCAGTTTCGAGGATTTTGTTCATCTTCACATTGAGTCGTAATCCATACTGAAGGCTACATAGGTAAGTACAGGTATAAAAAAATTCTGTCAAACCATGTATATTCTTGAGTATGTTTTCATTCTCCTTGCCAAACCTGGTCAGCTTTCATGTCTACCTATGCATCTGCTTGTATATCACCCATATTGCAGGATTGTATGTCTCGGACACTATTTACCTCTGTCGTCTTTAACTCTTGGGTTCCTTCCAGGCTCTTCCTCTGCCGCCATCATTTATTTTTTGCTGATCTCTTTCTTAGTGGATATTCTGTTCTCCTTCACCTCAGTACTCACTCCAAGTAGTAGTCTCGTACAATATTTGTCCCATTGCAATTGACTTATTTCATTCCACATAATGTCCTGTAGATCCATCCCCATTCTGAGGAGTTTCGAAGATTCCTCATTATTCTTGGAGGCTAGGGAGCATTCCGTTGTGTGTATGTACCATGGTGTGTTTACCCATTCTACCACGGATGGACATTTAGGGTCCTTTCAAGTGAGTAATACTGTGATGAACGCGGCTGTGCATGCACCTTTCTATTTGTGTCGGGACTCTTGTTTCTCCAGGATATATACCAAGTAGTGAGATTGTTGGATCATCGGGCATTTCTAGTTCCAATTGTAGGAAAACCCCATCCCACTGTCTACAGTGACTGCATCATTATATAGTACTTCCCACAGTGTAGGAGGATTCCAGTGTGTCCACACTCTCACTACATTTGTTGTGTTTAATGCTTTTTTAGCTTTTCTATTAGTTATGGGGTGACATGATCGTTCATCTTTGCTGCTTTGGTGAGCATCTTTCTAATAGTTAATAATTATGTGCAATTCTTCATGTTTGTTGATCACCTGAATGCCTTCTTTGGAGAACTGTCTGTTCATGTCCTCTGCCCATTTTTAAACAGGATGAATTGTTGTTTTATTCTTTTTAAAATTATTTTATTCTTAAGGTGCTGAAGTGTCTATAAATTTTAGAGATTACTCCTTTTTTCCACATGTAATTGCCCCAAATTCCCCCCCCCCCAATCTTTGAGTTCTATTATTAATCTTTTGATGAAATATTTTGATACACATAAGGGTCTAATTTTTAGGTGGTCCTGCTCATGTAGTTTGTCTTCTATTATTTGTGCATCTTTAATTATATCTGGTCGTGTACTTATGCCATGTATTCAAGCCCAACCATAGGGTCCCCATAATCATGGCTGCCTTAGTTCGAGAGGCCTGTACCAATCTTGTAAGACTTTTTATTTTCAAGAGTGTACCAATCCCAATTAAAATCCCTTTGCTGTTTCTATAGTCCCACCTGCAACTGTGATGAACTGATCTGCCACCAATCATAATTTGGGGACCGTTTACTTTGCAGTCCATGTCCTATATAAATGGTCATGTCTCTGTGAATCCTTAGATGCCATGATGGCCTCATGTTCATGGTCTCCCTCATGCAGACTATTTATCATGTTTAAGATCTAATAAATGTGTCTCTATACATTTTATTTGAATTTGTGATATATTTTCTCCCCTGGAACAGTGTAAAGGAATCTGGCTGGGTTTTGTATATTTACCTTATATTTTGCCACTTTGCTGAATCTTTTCATTAGTAATTGTCTTGACAAGTCTTTGGGATTTTCTATACATAGGATCATAGCATCTACAAGTAGAGAATTTCACTTCTTTGCCAATTTGCCTTTGTTGCCAGATAGCCCTGGTGACAGTGATTACCTGTTGGGCTGCCAGCCTCAAAGGCAGCAGTTCAAAATCACCCGGCACTCTGCTGGAGAACGACAAGGCTGCCTAGTGTCATAAAGTTACAATCTTGGAAGCCGACAAGGGCAATTTTAGCCTATCCCATAGGGTCATTTTGACTCAATCAACATTAAGGTAATGCATTTTTTTGGTTTTGGTGATAAAGAGCATCCTTGTCTGGTTCCTATTCTCAAGAAAAGTGCTTTCAGTCTCCCTTTGTTGAAATTAATGTTGCACATTGGTTTTGTATTTGAAAAAAAAACAAAACAAAAACCGAAGCTCACTGCCATCGAGTCGATTTTGACTCATAGTGACCATATAGGACAGAGCAGAAATGCCCCTGTGGGTTTGTGAGACTGACTCGTTATGGAAGTAGAAAGCCTTATCTTTCTCCACTGGGGCAGTTGGTAGTTTCAAACTGCTGACCTTGTGGTTAGCAACCTAAGATGTAACCTATCACATTATGAAGATGGTGGACACGATAAGCCTTTACACTATCCGAAGATATAGGACGTTACTTTCTTACCTCCGGGATTATGACTAGACCAAATATTAAGCCAAAAAGAACAAGGTTAACTCCATACATCCATCGAAGGAAGATGAAATATGATGCCACTGACGAACCAAAGTGACCTGGAAAGAGAGAGGAGTTATGCTGGGCTTTAGGTGCTGCAGAAGGACATTAATGTGCATTAAACGTTTTATGTGCAGCACACATTTCATTCTCATACCAGTCTGTGGAACCAGCATCCTGAGCTTCCTTTCTCCCTAGATAAATAACCCAAGGTTCCGTGGGATTCATTAATGCGTCCAAGTTCTCATCATTAGTAATTAAGAAACAGAATTTAAATCTTAGTCTGATTGGTTGAAAGCCCTCCTTGCCCCAGTATAATGTAGGCTACAAAGTAGTCTAATCATAAGGCCAAGAATACAATAGAGGCCATTGGAAAAGTAATCAATAAACCAACTGAACAACAATGATGGCAGAAGACTTACTTTCAATGTCTTTGATCTTCATCTCCCAGGGAATGCATTGAGTCTTGAAATTGTGAAAGTCTCTCTTAAACTTGACCCATTTCTGAAATGAAAGAGGCAACACCCTCAGTACATTAACATGCTGCCTTGGGACCTGGAGAGGCATCTTGATGATGTGTCTGCATGAGGTTGAAGTCTAGGTGAGGCTGTCATCTTGACATTGCCCTCCCCTGTCGTTCATGATCCAAGCTGCAGGAAGTGGATGCTTGTTTAAGCTTGCTTAGAAAACTGTTCTTATTGTGAATTGGGTGAAGGTTTACAAATCAAATGATTTTTCCATTGAACAATTCATACATATTTTCTTTCACATCACCGAGTGCAATCACCACAATGGAGTATCACTTATTCCACTTTCCTCTTGCATTCCCACTTATATTCTTCCTTGCTTTTCCTTCCTGTCTTCTGAACTTGGGGCGCATGCTGCCTATTTGTCCTCAAGCGATTGATTATTCTAAGTGGTGCTTACCTCCCTAGTATTATTGTTAACTTTATAGATTTTTTTCTCCCCTATTATTTGGCAGGAAAGCAAGTCACGGAGAAGGTTTGGTTTCCAGGCCTGGAGGGTCCCTCAGGGCCAGACTCTCAGGTTCCACCAATTGCTCTCCTGTGAGTAGCTCTAGTCTTTTTTATGATTTTCAGTTTTGTTCCACATTTTCCTTCCAGTCAATCCATTATCCTACACCACTAACGTGGCCGAGCACCATCTACTTCTGGTCTCAGGATGGACAGGCTGATGTTTATTAAGGATTTTTCTCTTCTCTTTCCATTTTCTTCAGCGTTTTTATGAGGAATGGGTATCTGATTTTGTCTAATAACTCTTCTGTTCATTGATATAATCATGTAATTCTTTTCCTTTGTTTTCTGTGATGAATTACAATGATTCTTTTTCTGATGATGAACCATTCTTGCATATGAAGTATGATCTCAATTAGGCATGATGTATTTTTAAAAATTGTTTCCTTCTATTGGCTAGGGTTTTATTGAGAAATTTCGCATCTATGTTCATGAGCGATAGTGGTTTGTCTCTTTCTACCCTGGGAATGCCTCTGTCTGGTTTTGGGATCGTGGCTATGCTTGTTCACAAAATGAACTTGGGCGTTTCTATCCTTTTCTATACTCTGAAGTAGTTTAGGTAGAATTGGTGCCAGTTCTTCTCTGAATGTTTGATAGATTTCACCGATGACGCCATCTGGGCCCAAATTTATTGTTGTTTTCTTTTAACAACCTGATCAATTTCTTCTTTTGTTCTGGAGCTGTTCAGATTTGGTACTTCAATCCATGTTCGTGTAAGGAACTGCTTCTGGAAGTCTGCCTGTTTCTTCTAGGTTTTCAGGTTTGCTGGCGTCCAGTCCTTCATAGTGCTCTGATGTCATCACTCTTCTTTCAGTTGGTTTTGTCGTGATGCCACCACTTCATTTCTTGTTCACATTGCATCTTTCCCTTCTTTCCTTTTGTTCGATTTGTTGGTGGTTTGCCGATTTTGCTAATCCTTTCACAGAGTCAACTCCTTGTCTCATTGATGCTACTGTTTCTCTGTTGTCTATTTTAACTGTTACAGATTTGATATTTATTATTTCTTTTCTTCTAGTGGTGGTAGGCTTATTTCACTGTTTATTTTTCTCTCTCAGATTATAGGGAATGTTGGGCTAAGGTTTATTTATTTATTTTAATGTGTGCATTTGTTGCTATAGATTTATCTCTGAGTATTACTTTTGCTTTGTCTCAAAGGTCATGCTATGTTTTATTGTTGCTTGATTTAAGAGTTTTTTATTTTAATTTTTAAATTTCTTCTATTATCTAGTAGTTTTACAACCAGTTGTTATTCAATTTCCATGTATTTGATTTCCACCCCTTGAACTTCCAATTGTTGATTTCTAGATTTATAGCATTGTGATCTGAGAAGATGCTTTGGGTTATCTCAATGTCTTTAAGTTTATCAAGACCTGCTTTGTGGCCTAACATAGGATCTGTTTGCTTATTGTGTTGTTGTTGGGTGGGTGTTTAGTATATGTCTATGAGGTCAAGTTGGTTGATTGTGTTTGGGTGTGTGTGTCCTTGTTGAGTTTCCAGTTGTTCAATCCTTCATTGAAAGTGTTATATTAAAGTCTCCTATTACTATTGTAAGCTATATATTTTTCTTTTCAATCCTGTAAGAGTTTGATTAATGCATTTTGAGGCTCTTTCACTGTATGCAGAGGTATTGATTATGATTATGTCCTCTGGTTCAATTAATCAAATCATTATATAATGCCCTTCTTTGTCTCTTATGCTGGATTTTGCCTTATGGTAATTTTTTTCATTAAACAATACCGACGCAACTGCTCTTTTAAAATTGCCATTAGCTTGACATCTTTTTTTTCTATCTTTTGATTTTTAGTCTATTTTTGTCTTTGTATCTAAGGTGTGTCTCTTACAGACAAGATATTGCTGGGTCCTGTTTTCTGATCCATTCAGCCACTCCCTATCTCTTGACTGGTGTATTTAATCCATTCTCGTGCAGTGTAATTATTTATATATACACATATATATTTATTGCTGTTATTTTGTTTTGTAATGCTGCTATTTCTTTGTTTCACATAATTTTCTGAGATTACAAGAGCCACATTTTCTAATAAAGCCAAAGCAAACTAAAACAACAACAACAAATCTCTGAAGACAGGAAGTAAGGACTGAATGGAAGCAGGGACCTGGGGGGGAACGGGGAAAATGCCGTGAGTCTGTTACATTGATGCGATAGCAACTGATGCCGTGAAACACAAAACCATTTATAAACCGCTTTAGTTTCCTCTGTGAATGTTCATCCAAACCACAGTAAAACAACACATAAATATAAAAAAGCAATACTGGAAATAAAGATTTTAAAAGACCGTTTGTTTATGTGGCTTCCTTTGGAGTGCTACCTATATGATAGCATTTGCCAGTCCCCTGGCCTGTGAGCATGCTGTTTCCATGACAATATATTTTTTGACTGTAAATCGATGTACTGGAAATAGGATGAGGTTTTGGTTCCCACACTATGAACTCTCCCATCAAAAATAAAATGTGCTACTGCATGGGCTTCAAGTTTTCCAGTTCTTACACCAGTTATTTCTCCTTGTACATTAATAATCTGGCATTTGGTTTTATATATCAGTCTCATAAGCTTTATTAATGTGAACCGTCCCCTGAGAGGTGGATCCCCTCTCAGAGTGCTGATAAAATCAGTACAAAATAGAGGCTTGCAAGGCAGAGGACCAGCCAGGGTATGGGATGTTGGCAAGCGAGGCCTCTGGAGAGTTAGCCTGCCAATTAGTCTCTTGGCAACCCCTTACAGAGAGGCCCTTAGGCTGGAGGTAGCTCTGTGTGAAAAGGGATGCCATAGCACAGTGGTTCTCAACCTTCCTAATACTGCCACCCTTTAATACAGTTGCTCATGTGGTGACCCCCAGCCATCAAATAATTTTCGTTGGTACTTCATCCCTGTAATTTTCATACTGTTTTGAATCATAAAGTAAGTTATCTGATATGCAGTATGTATTTTCATTGTTACAAATTGAACCTCAAAAACAGTATGTCATTCTATATTGTGAAATATTTATTTCTAGTGACAAATGAAATTTTGTCTTAAGCGTGGTGTAGCATGGGTAGCAGTCTTCATGATGGTACTCGTTACGTGGACAGACCTTGCCTAGAGACAGAGGAGCGCCGTCTCGGTTCCTAAGACCCTCGGAAAGATGTGTTTTCCGAGGGTCTTAGGCAATCCCTGTGAAAGGGTCGTATGACTCACCAAGGGGTCGGGACCCACAGGGTGAGAACCGCTGCCCTAGAGGAAGGCAGAGACCGGAAGCTCGGCCTGGGAGAACTTCTGATGCTGACGTTCTTGTCCTTCCGTGGTGTAGAAAGTCATGAAATGGGGCTGGGTGTGGGCCTGGGAATGTCCCAATTCCCTTCCTCAGAGCTTGGGAGCAGCTGCTGCTGGCCCTGGGACTAGAGCACTAGTTGAGGATGCTGCCTTGTTCTCCGGGTATGCATAGGAACTTCACTAATAGCACACTGCCATCTGTTCGATGGTGACTCCTCTTGATCCTACCGGACAGGGTAGAACTGCCCCGTGAGTTTCCGAGACTAAGTGTTTATGGGAGTAGAAAGCCCCGCCTTTCTCCAGGGGAGCTGCTCGTGGTTTCAATCAAGCAGCTGACCACGTGCTTCTAGCAAACCGGCTCGGAACCACTGCCTATGAGGGCTCCTCTGTACAGTGGCACCTCGGTTGTATTGCTTGAACAGAAAAATTCAGGGGAAAAATCTGCTCAGTGTTAGTAACTTTGCTCAACAGTTGAACTGAAATCCACCGAAAAAACCTGTACAGCCCAGAGTGAGTCACCGGTGGAGTCTCCTCAGAACACAAATGACTGATGCTCCACTCTAAGCGCCACTCTCTCAGACAACATATAGTGCTTGTGTGAGTGTGTGAAAGCATTCATCATTGCACTTTGTTTTTGCACATTATTTGGTAAGATATCATAACCATGGCTCCAAAGAAAGTGATGCCAGCTGAAGTTAAGAAGAAAGCTGTGAGAACCACCACAGAGTTACAGAAAGAAATCTTTGGGAAATTGAAATCAGGTGGCCTTTTGTTTAATTGGGCAGCTGAAAACAATATGGCTAAGGGGACAAAATCAACGTTTTGGGGGGAGGAAATGTGATTAAAGTGGCTAATGTAGTGAAAGGTGTGGCATCGTTAACCACGAAACAAAAAACCCAGACCACTGAAGAGGTTGAAAAGTTACTGTTGGGCGATAGCATCCCCGAGACAATGATAGTCAAGAAGGTGGAAATCCTCCATGTGGATTCAACGTCCTGGAAAGATGAATTTATAAGTGTCATTTTGGGGCCTCAGAAGCAATTATTTGGTTTTCCATTATTTTTATGGGAAAAATATATATTCAGTTCTGGAACTTTTTGGTGTTTGAACTTGGAACGGATTGAGTATAGAGATGTATATAGGAAAGGAGATTTCAAACAGCCGCCAAGTAAGCTGCAGAATACGAGCTATGCTGTCTAGTTGTATGCAGCAACCCACGGTCACTGCCATCAGAAGAAAGTCAGAATGGACTAGATGGCAGTGAGTTTGGTGAAAATACCTACCTATCGATCATCTATCTACCTGCCTACCTATCATCTATCTATCTATCTATCTATCTATCTATCTATCTATCTATCTATCTATCTATCCATCTAACCACCTATCCACCTATCCATCTATCTATCTATCTATCTATCTATCTATCTATCTATCTATCTATCTATCTATCTATCTATCTATCTATCATCTCTGTCTACCTATCATTGTCATCAAGTCAAGTCAGACACTTAGTCGACCTTGTAGAACAAAGCAGAGCTGCCCCTGTGGATTTCCAAGACTGTAATTCTTTATGGGAGTAGAAAGCCTCATCTTTCTCCCACAATTGTACACAGGAAGGAAGTTCAAATAGCAGTCTAGCCAAATGGCAGACTGAAAGCTATGCATAGGGCCTGTGGATGAAATCCAGGTGTGGATGAATACAATGAGAAAAAATACAGCAGAATAAGGGAAAGAGGATAGTGCCCTTTGATATTTTGGGGGATGCATTTCCTCTATACCCACTGCCATTGAGTTAATTCAAATCCATAGTGACCTTTTAGGACACAGTAGAACTGCCCCAGATGGTTTCCCAGTCTGTAAATCTTTACAGGAGCAAGCAGCCTCACCGTTCTCCCTTCCAAACTGGTAGGTTTGAATCACCAACTGCCCTGTAGTTAGCAGCCCATGTTTAACCTACTGTGACACCAGGGCACCTTGCACTGCCTCTAGGATCTATAAAAATACTTTTATCAAATGGCTCAGGGTGTGAGGAACGTGACTTCTAAAGGAAAGGGTGACAATTTGGGGGTCTTGAAGGAATATAGGTGAAGCAGGAAAGGATTACAAGGAAATTCAAAGTCCAGTAACAATGAAAATAGACATTCTACATCATGCAGACAATCCCTGATGCTGAGAAACAATGGAACAATGATATCGAGGCTAAATTGAGAAATGCCTGAGAATGCTGTGAGAGAGACAGCAAAGAATTGAAAACAAACAGAGAAGGTAAATAGTAGAGGACAGAGGATAGGGAGTCATTCTTTACTTAAAGAAGAAGCTAGAGGTATTTGGGTATATTTGAAGAACATAGTCTTCATTTGTGGATAAAAGGGTTCAATGTACAACTGCTAAGTGGACAATGAAAACCAAACAAACAAAAATTCACTGCCATCAAGTGGCTCTACAAGCAGGGTAGAACTGCCCTTGTGCGTTTCCAAGGCGATGATAATTCATTATGAGAGTAGAAAGCCTCATCTTTCTCCCTTGGAGGAGCTGGTGGTTTGGAACCGCTGACTTTTGTGGTTATCAGCCCAACACAAACCTCACTACACTACCAGGGTTCCCTGTATGGAAACGTTGTTGTTGTTGTTAGGTGCTAGCGAGTCATTTCCAACCCACAGAGATGCTATGCACAACCAAACGAAACACTGCCAGGTCCTGCAACATCTGCACAAGTGTTCCTGTGCAAGAGCCCATGATCGTGTGCCACCAATTCCTGGGGCCTTGCTTTTCGATAATGCTCTCAATGCAAAGTTGAACGCCTTCCTTCAGTATTATTGGTTCTTGCTCATTTGCTGCCTCCTGAAATGGGTGACTGTCAGCTAGTTCTTTTTTGGTATAGGGATTCTGTTTCTATCTTCTTTTGATGTTTCCTGTATCATTCAATGTTTTGCCCATAGAGTCTTTTAAGATTGCACTTAAGGCTTCACATTTTTTGTGATTTCTTTCCGTTTAAGATATGCTGAGTGTGTTCTTTTCTGGAAAGCCATGCTATGCATACGGTTTTCAGGGGCGACTTCCTCCAAACTGGGCAGCCGAGTCCTTCTTCATAGTCTTTTCTTAGTCTGGAAGCTCCGTTGAAACCTGTTCACTTTGGGTGACCCTGCTGGCATTTGAAATACCAGTGACATAGCTTCCAGCGTCATAGCAACACATGAGCCACCACAGCGTGACAAACCGACATGTGATGGGTATGGAAGCTGTGATAGTTACATAATCTGTTGTCAACTTGAGACTATAAGAGTGAAGTTTAGCCTGTCAATCAGCATGCAGCTTGATTACCTCATTTGGAGGGGCTAAGGAGAAAAATAGCTCGCTGGAGGTGGGACAGACTCTCTCTCCCTGGGAGACATTTTTGTTGACAAGGCACATGGAGCTATGCTAAGAGAGCTAGAGCCCTGGAACTGGAGGAGCCACGTGGAGACCTACACCAATGCTAAGATGCTTCTACCACCACTGGATCCAGAAGACTTTCCACCCCTGGCCTATGATTTTCCTTCATTCAGCGTCATTGCATATGTTGTATGAGTCTGAAGATGATTTTATAGATTGATATTGGACACATGGGCTAATATCAGACTTATAGACTTGATCTGGACTGGGCTGGGATGTTTTCTTTCTTATACACATATGAGTGTCTATGAATTTGTTTCTCTAGTTCACCCAGACTAACACAAAAGTGTAGCTAAGGAACATTTGCAAAACAAGGGCAAAAGGGGAAGCCAGCATCAACAAGCATTATAATTACTCAATGACTAAACCATTCAGGTCCAACAATTATTCAAGATGTAAACCCCAAAACTGGCCATATGCAAAAATTAAGGGAATGAAAATGATAGTTTCCCCCCAATTAGTGGGTAGAGGAGGGCATTTCAATAACGCACATATTAAATATGCAATTAAAATCAAAAGCCCTGCTGATTACCGATGGGCATCACTGGCTATCATTCACTCCGGTTACCATTCATCTCCTTCGACTCAGGGCAGTCTCACGTGCGTCCCAGCAGAACTGTGCTCCTTTGGCTTTGCAGAGGCTGAGCTTTGGAAGGTCGGGAGCCAGGCCTTTCTCTAAGTCACTTCTGCGTAGGTGTAAACCTCCAGCCTCTCTGTTAGTAGCCAAGGGCCTTCACCATTTCACCACCTGGAAACTCCATCTTACCCACATGACCCCAGTGATGCCATGACCTTCAGGGACTTCACCAAATCAACCAATGTATCCTGACTCAGGATTTGGAAAATTGATCTGGGTGGTTATCACATCATTAATTTGGTGAGTTGAGGTATTCACTAAAGAGGAAACAAGTCTCAGATAGACTGAAGATCTTACAGACAAATACAGACAAATTGGTCAGATAGAATTGGATTCCATTCCTGGATGAACTGGAATGGTCATTTGGGCCTCCAACTCAGGATTTGGGGGCAAGAATGGATTATCTAGTAAGCACTGTATGCACCGGTTTTAAAAAAAACAACACACACAATAGGTAACATTGTGCACTACAGATTAGTAAGCACAACTAAGCGGGTGCCTACCTTGCTTATTGGATAATCTACTCCTGTTGAGGTTACTGGACACACACTGGGGAGGCTCTGCTGGTGCTTGTGTCAGTGGTACAGACTCAAAGGCCGAGCAGCCTCTGCAGGGCCGGGGCACCACACACCTTGGCCATCAGCATCCTGTAGGCGTACAGTCGCTTGCCTTTCCCCTTTCCCAAAGCTCCTTCATACTTCTCCACGAAGGCTTGGGCCTCCCTGGTTAGGAAACAAAAGGCAGGAATTAATACCTACCCCAAAGAAATGTGAACTATGAGGATGTATTGTGGCTGAAAGCCTCATGCGGTTTAATACCCCTAGTTAGAATGCAAGTTCCACGCGGGGAGACCATTGTGTCTGTCTGTCCACTGAACCTTCCCAAACAGTGGCTCAGCAGCACAACAAAACCCTGCCCATCTGCCCCAGTAAAGTGTCCAGCCCTGGAAACCCTATGAGATAGTTCTACTCTTTCCTGTAAGGTTGCTATGGTCGGGATAGCACACAACAAAAACAATATTGAATTATTCTCATGGGCTAATGTAATCACATGCGTCCTTAAAAATCGAGAAGGAGGGCGGCAGAGTCAGAGAGCTGGGGTGAAGGGGGAAGGCAGGATGAAGGCAAACATCCCCGAGCTACTTGTACTAGCAGCTCTGACGCCCGCACCACTTGTTACCTGGGACGTCCATGGGCTTCTCTGAGTCACCTGTGTACCTTAGCCTCATTTCTGCAGTGTCTGAACAAAAGGGATTCAAGTTGTAACAATAACAGTAACGACTCTTTACGCATGGCACGTTGGGTGCTGGGTACTTGATCTCATGATCTTCCCTCTATCAGAACAGCTATCAGACACAGATTTGACAAAGGAAGAGATGAGGCTCAGAGAGGTAAAGGGAAGGGAAGCAGACTGAGAGGGATTGAGTAGAAAGGCAAGACTGACTGTGGAGGGGCCACGGGGCTGCTTGCCAAGGGGATTGCAACCAGAGGTGTATCTAAGGTGTGACAGGTATGGCATCATTTGAAGGGGCACCACTGAGCAGTTTCTATTAACTCAGTTATACCCAAATCCTTCCCCAGGCACAGTGGACACCATCATGGGGAAGAGAGACCCTCACCTAAGGGAACAAGTCCAAGTGTGTATCAGAGAAAGCACCTAATGACATTTTCTGGTGCCACACACACACACTTGAAAGGCGCCTGGCTGAGGGAGCCAGATAAGAGGGTGTTGATTCCTTGCTGCAATCAACATCGATTCATTCTGAAATTGGAAGTGTGGCTGGGCGGAGGGGCCAACGTAGAGAGGGCCTCTGTGTGTTCCTTATCCGCCATGCACCTCGGCAGGGTGCAATGTCTGCTTCCTAGAGGTGCTATTTTCCACAGACGAGGCTCTGATTCCCAGGTTGGGGAAGATAGCCAAGGATTGGGCAATGTTTCCTTCTGTGGTACTTGAGTGTCGCCAACTTGGTCCAACTCACGACAACAGGTTTTAGTCAGGTGAGCTGGCAGAAAGCGAAGGTCTTCCAAGCAGAGCCCCTGGAGACCCAGATGCCCAAGAACTTTACACTTGAGCCTGGTGGGAGACGCTGAGGGTAGAAACAGAAGGAGGCAGCCTGAAGAACGGAGCCCCAGTGTTGACGGGGAGACCTGGCTTCATTATGAGGAGACCTGGGTCTCTTCAACCTTCAGCAGGGCCCACCACAGGAGCAGAAACTGGTCCCGCAGAGGCAGGACAAGATGTCAGATTCTTCTCCGGGCATCCCACCAGTCACCAGGGATTCCCATGTCCCCTGAGACGTCCAGCTAGCTGGAGATCTCATTTCCATAAGCACCGGGGCTGCTCTTTTTCCACTGTTAATAAAAGATGTGTTCAGGTGACACCTGCGTGAGGACGGGTTTCTGTTAGTGACAGCTGGCGGCGCCACCCCTGCTGACGGTTGGGAGAACCTGTATTAAAAGTGGAACAAGGCAGTTCTGCAAAGAAGAGTTTGCAGCCAAACGAGAGGACGGAGGGGCAGCGTGTAACTCGGCCTGATCATGGTGGGGCTATGGGGACTTCTTGCTGGGGGGATTCCAGCCAGAGGTGTCTCTAAGATGTGACAGCAGTGACACCATTTGAAGGAGCTGGAGCAGGGGCTCTGAAGGAGGAGGCTGGGAGGGACGACAGCCCACTGTGTGGAGCTGCAGCTTCCAAACTGTCGCCTCTAGCCCCAGGCAAGCATGTGCATGTCAGTTACATGAGAAAAGGCTAGTTCCTGAGTCGCGCTGACCACATTCAATCTCTCAACAGCCCTTTGTGGCCAGCAACTGCCATGTCCAGTGGCGTAGGTGCAGCCCATTCTCATCCTGGCCGAACACTCTGTTGGACAATGCTGGCCGGCCTACCCTGGGCCTGGAAGACCACTATGACCGGCAGGAGACCATCCACATGGACCCAGGAGTCAGCAGTATTTACAGAACCCTTGTCCGGTCTGGAGTATGTATACAAAGCCAGATTCTTCAATATGCCTCCTGGAGTTCATGGGATTCAAAAAAAATAATCGTCCAATTGCTCTACTTATGCATTGTAATAAGAGTTGTAAGAGCCCCCAATAAAATGTTTTGTTTTCCAATAAAATGTATTAAAAAAGAAAAAAATACTATTGAAGAGAGTGGGAGTGAATGAAAAACGAAAATCTTGGGAGAAACCAGGGGAAGTAGATTATGTGGAAGTTATTAAGTGAGGATGGTAGTGGTTGGAATACCCTGATGGCATGGGATGGGATGGGTTGTGGCTCTTCCCTGCCCCTCAAAAGATATTTTTAGGGAACCTATTGGGATAATGTCCTAGGCGTGACTAAGACTATTGTCTGAAATAAAAATTCAGTTTAAAAAAAAGAATGAGGATTTTCCAAATGCAGAGGACATGAAGGTAGCAAAGGAACTAGGTAGATGAGGTGTTACCAAGAATTAGCAATTTGGCAGCTCACCAAAAGCTTGGGGTTTGAAATCATCTAGAGGTACCGCAGAAGAAAGGCCTGGCAATCTGCCTCCCAAATCTCAGTCACTGAAAACCTGGTGAAGCGCCGCTGCCCTGGCGTGACCACAAGTCAGAGTTGACTCGCCAACAAGAGGCCCACACATCGCTCCCAATCCCGTGGCAGGAACACAAAAGGGGGGTCTGGGGCAACGGTCAGGGAGGGCAGACATGTTTACACAAAAAACTAGATGGTGCCTGACCACCACAGCTGACTGCTCTAAAAGGAATCACAGAGAAGGTCCTAGTGTGTGTGTGTGTGTGTGTGTGTGTGTGTGTGTGTGTGTGTAAGAGAACTCAAAATAAATAATAGAAAGACCAGGCTTGCTGCTCTGATAAAGACTTCACGGAACCCCAGAGATTATGACCCTTGGACATTCTTCAAGCCTGGAACAGAATTCACCCACGTGGCTCAACTTTCAGCCAAGTGATAGGGTTCTAAGGTGAACAATAACATGGAGTGGGGTGGGGGAACATACTCCTTAGAATAACCGCCCATATGAGCTCCAAGGTCAGCATTTTACCAGGGAGGAAGCTCAGAAGGCGGGAAGAGGTAGGCGAGGAGGAGGGATGTAAAGACACAGGGAGGAAGTGGGAAGAATGCTGTTACTCTGTGGGGCAGCAAATGTCAAAAATCAAAAACCAAAATGTGTATCAACCGTTGCATGGAAAACCAGTTTGCTCTCTAAACTTCCACCCAAATCACAATGAAAAGGTCAAAAGAAAAGACTTCAGCAGAGACATGCTGAATTCGTGCTTTGTATTTCTCAATAGTCTTCACCCCATTCTTCTCCCGTACAAAGTCAGCTCATAAGTGCTGGGATGCCAGCCTTTCCTAGAAGTTGAGAGCAGGATCAAGTGGCACACGCATGAGCCTTAACAACATCGTGCTGAGCAAAACAAGCCAGTCCCCAAAGGACAGAGAATGCCTGATCTCATTTATGTAAAACAAGGGAGTTTTGACTTAGGAGCTTTGAGGGTAAGTTGATGGTGGAATGATCGGGAAAGGCAGGATGGACAGTGAGAATGAGCAGAAGAACACCGTCAGTGTTACTGAATTGTACATGTAGAAATGGTTGAGACGGCACCAGTTTTGTTACGCATATTTCATCACGATAAAATCAAGTCAAGTGGTATGAATGTGCGGCTTGTAACTGTTCATAGGATGTTATTTATCCAGGCTCATTTGGGCCCTGGGTTGCTTCTTGGGGCCCTGAGAATAGCTAAGACATCCTCTCCCTGCTCTCGTCACTGTTTAAATCATTACAGATGTGAGCGAGCCACACACAGAAGGTCTGGGGCTTAAATAACAGGAAGAGATCAGAACTTGTTGAGGCTGGGCCACAGAAAGCCACTTCTTAGGAACGGATGAATGTGTAGGGTTGTGCGGGAGGCACAGACCAAATGGACAAAGGATGGCAAGGATGGTCAGGTAAGAATCTGGGTGATGCCTGGGCACTATGAGTCTTCTGTCTTTCCCCAAAGCCCTGCTCTGTGCTGCTGGACAAGAAAGCCTCATGGACAGTCATGGTCATGTCTGCCATGGCTCTATCAGTGTCCCTTGGAGCACTGTACTTAATGCTGAGGACAGACAGGGACTAAGGGAGAGTGGAACGTGAATCCCTGTATCTGTCAAGCCCCCAGGGATTGAGAAGGAGTAAAGGACGCCCACTCCCCTCAGAAGGAACTGAGCCTTTGGACATTATGGGCTCTGCTGGAGCAAAAGCCTGGACGACCAGTCTGCCTACCTGAGCTCCGTCAGCTTCTTGGCCATTGGCCAGGGCTTGTTCCTCATGGTGGCAATGAGCTTCTTCTTTTCTTCCACCTGCTCCAGGATCCAGGCCAGCTCCTCCTCAGACAGAGACTCCCCACCAGAGGCACTGGAAGCCAAGGAGGGTGAACTGGGATTGGGGGATCAGGGAAGACACAGATGAATGGAGACGGGGGTGGGAGTCCCTGGATGGGGCTAACAGTTATCATGCTCAGAAGTCCACCAAAAGATCGGAATTCTTTTGTGAACGGAGTTCAAGTTCACCCAGAAGTGCCCCAGAAGAAGGGACTGTCGATCAACTTCAATTGACAGCCCAACAGGCCACAGTTCTGCTCTGACACTCACGACATTGCCAGGAGTTGGGATTGACTCCACAGTGACTTTCTTTGCTGGTTCTTGGAGGTTCTGTGGGTGGGCGGCATGAAGGCAAGCCCGTGAGGCTATGCTCACTGATGCTCACAGCTCTGTGCATGGTCTGCCCTTGCTTGGAAGCCATCGGTGGCTGCCACCGCCCGCCAGGGGAATATAAAACTTTGTCCTGTAAGCTGAGCCCTAGGGAGGGCTGCCTCCTTAATCTCCACTTTTCTGAATGTCCCCCCTACCACAGTCTAGCATTGTTGTTGGCAGGGACCATGGGTTGGTCTGACCCATAGCAACCTGACGCACAACAGAAGGAACCACTGTGCAGCCCTGGCCCTCCTCACAAGCATTCCTAGATTTGAGGCCACTGTTGCAGCCATGGTGTCCATCCATCTCCCTGAGGGCCTTCCTCTTTCTGCTGCCCCTCTACTTGACCAAACATGCCTTTTCTCCTCCAGGGATGGGTCTTTCCTGACAACACATCCAAACTATGTAAGAGGAAGTCATGCCATCCTTGCCTCTATGGAGCACGCTGCTTGTACTTCTTCCAAGACAGGTGGGTCGAGCATAGAGCTACCCCAAAGAAATAAAATGCAAGCCACTTCTTGTGATTTTAAAATTTCTACATTAAACTAATATGAAAGAAATGGATAAAATCAACTTTATCGTTTATTTCAGATGAGACAAAGACATGACCATTTCAATTTGTGATCAATATGCTTATGAAGGAGATACTTTGCCTTCTGTTTGGATGTTGTTTTTAAACCTAGTTTTGTTTTGCACTTCGTGGAAACAAACAAACACGGAGGACCCGTGTCTTTGAGTAGATTCTGTCAGGAGCGGCCCGATAGGGTAGAGCAGCACTGGCCTCGGGACCCTGAGGCAGGAAATGTTGGGGGCAGAAAGCCTCATCTTCCGTGGCGGGGCAACTGGTATTTGGGAACGGGTGACTTCCAAGTCAGCCGCCCACTTTGTCACCCACTACACCCCCGGGCTCCCGTGCACCCCAGTCCATCTGAATCCAGGTGTTCCATTTGCGCCAGACCTGTGTGATCTGCACTTAGATTCCATACAATAGATACAGGGAAACGTGTGAGAATCGGAGCTCAGTGGGACTGCCTCGTTTTTCCAGGTCTTGCAAAATTTCCACTTTTGACAGTGTGCGGTCTTGCCCCTTCTGCAATCCTTTGTATTGAAGGCAACTACCTGAGTGTTTCTTCTCTGACATACCTGCCTTATGTAAGTTCCCAACTCTCAGAGGTTTTATGTGAGTGAAAGGTATAGCATACCTGAATTATTCTAAGAGTGTTCCAGTAACTGGATAAAATACATGAACATCATTTCCCTTTGATATTTGCATCGGCAAAAAACTAGTTGGTTTGTTTTTTTCCCTTAAGAAGAAGGGCTTTGGCTTCAGGGTTCAATCCAGTCAGTTCCCAAAGTATATCTATCCATGTTAAGTAAATTTCCCAACCCTTGTGCCAACCTGGTAGTATTAACACCAAATTAAATTTTAATGAAACAGGAAGTTCAGTTCTGTCTTGGTTCTCAGCTTGGGGGCATTAGTGGCACTGTGACAAACCTCTCACCTTCCACGCTACAGACCCAAAGTTGATTGCCAGCCAAAGCACCTCATGCGCAGCCACCACTGTTGGGCAGTGGATGTTTGTGAGCTGCTATGCTGCTGAGTGGCTTTAGTGGAGCTTCCAGACTCAGATGGATTCGGAAGAAAGGCCTAAGGATCTACTTCTGACAATGAGCCGACGGGAACCGGGAACCAGCCACAGGAATGGCGCAGGACGGATGGAGTTTTGTCCGGTTGTGCTGGGAGGGCCATCTCAAAGGCAGTTACCAACAGGAGCCTTGCAGCTCAGCTAGACGGTGGCCAGAGGGCAGGTGAAGGAGGGCCTAGATAAGGGCAGGGCTTGGCTAACCTCTGAAAGTTCTATAAATGGAGGTCTCTGGAAGCAGGTGTGGGCTACCTCTGGTCTGAGAGGCCTGTTTGCATCTGAAGCAGTCTCTGCGTTTCAGCTTCAGATGAACTTCTGAGAAGCAAAGGGGAGCCCTTACTGGGACTCAGGGGAGGAAGCGATTCCAGTCCTTGAACACTGGAATTTCTAGAACATAGTGGTTTTTAAAACTATATTCATAGATACCCCTTGATACCTGCCTGCTAGTCCTAGCACGAGGTGTTTCCTCAGACTGGGGGTCACTCTCTCCCTGAAGGAGACCTGATGCCCTCTCATCCCACCAATACAATAATCCATTAAATCCTTTCTTGTGCGCATATTGCTCTGTTATCTTATGACTACTGGTGCTCATGTCTGCTCTCCCCTGCTAACTGTCAACACTTGGGGCACAAGGATTTTTTCAATTCTCTATGCCCTGCCTTGGTGCTCAGGAAATACTTGCTGAGAATTGCAGGAATTGTTCCCTTTTGTACCCCTTACTTTCGATCGGCCATCCGTACACCTGTTATTCACTTAGGACAGTGCAGCCTCTTTCTGAGGTTCAGGACGCCCCGAGAGCATCCATGAAAGACTCAAAGCTGCTAAGGACATTGTTCATCCTTGACTCCTCTACCTCATGTCCAAGGACAATCAACTCCCAAATCCCACGGCTTTTGAGTTGATTTCAACTGAAAGTGGTCCCTAGGGGACAGATTCGAATTGCTCCATGGCCATTGGAGTGGTGACTATTTATAGAAGCAGCTGCCTCGTTTCTCTTTCACGGAGCAGCTGGTGGGTTCAAATAGCCGCCCTTGCAGATAGCAGCAGAATGCTTAATCCATGGTGCCATCAAGACTCCTTAAGGACAACCAGACAATGGGGGTCGGGGGGGGGGGCTTACTTGGGCCAGGGATGACTGATGGGGGTGGCAAAATAAGTTAGTGGCTCCTTTTGGGGGCTTCTGTAAAGAGGAGCAGTATGGTGGTGCACCCGACGGTCTCTCTGTAACTGTGCAGGGATCTAGCAGCACACTTAACTCAGGGCAAGGGTACAACTCTTCACCACAATCCTGCGACCTGCAGGGGAGTCTTACACATCCTAAAACATGAGTTGGCATAGATTAGCAATAGGAGGGGGATGTTGCATCAGCATTAGTGGGTGGTACCAACGTTCTGATACCATAAACTGATTCAATCCACTAGTACACATGTGCTAGAGCTAATGCAACAAAGGAGACAAAACAAGTCAACCAAAGCACAGTGTCCTAGCCTTTCGGAGCTGATAGAACCCTTGAAGTTCTTCTACACCAGGGGCTGGCAAACTGCCGCTCTCTTTCAGTGTGTACTGTGGCTCTGAAGTAAAATTGAAAATAATTAAAGGATATTATTCAGAGAATGGTGACTTCATTGGTTTGTAAGAATGTATTCATGGCTCTCAAATAATTTTCAGATTGTTGGGAGCAATAGGATTGGCTTTTTTGTCTCAAACATGTGCCAACATTTCGTAGAAGAGGAGACCGGTCTCAGTAGGGAAAGAAAGGGGTGTGCTAAAGCCCTCTCAGTCCATTGCCATTGCGAGTCACTCTGACCCAGAGCGGTCCTGGAGGACAAGGCAGGGCTGCCCCTGTGGGTTTTCAAGATGGTAAATCTTTATGGGAGTACAGAGCCTCATGTTCCTCCTGAGGAGCAGCTGGTTTTGAACAGCTGACCTTGCAGTGAGCAGCCCAACATGTCACTCCCACACCACCAGGGCTCCTGTTTAGCCCTTGGAGATGTCCCAGATCCAACTGTGTTCCTGGCTCCTAGTCCTCCTCTCTCAGAACTGCAGCGAGTCACCAGTTAATGTTTTTTATCATCCAATGTATAGATGTTTTATTGAAAACTTCTCAAAGATGGAGAGGGGTTTGCATTAAAAATCAAGGCAAAACCTTCAAATGCCTCCCCCCAATTTCTCCACTGTTATATCAGCAGGCTAAATATTTCTTCTCATAAAAGAAAAATTAAAACCTCCCCCATTCTTTTGACCCTCCCCCTCCCTCCACCACTCTCAGTTCCTTCCCTCTATCCCTATCTATGTGAAGCTAATCTACTTTTCACCAGTTAAAATGTATGAGAAATGGGACCTTGTCTGGCCCCCACCCCCGCTGCCACATCACCTCCCCACACCGCGCGGCCATCTGCACCGCATCGCACTGGGCACCGGGGTGGAGAGGATGTGATGATCACCCCAGCGCAGGAGGCCTGTGATCCTCATCTGCTTCTGCCCCAGCATGCTGGGCAGTGACAAAGGCAGAGGACAACTGGGAACTAGAGAGAAGCAGGGACCCTTGCTTCACAACCGAGGAGGGCAGCAGCCCCTCACCAGGAGAGGGGAAGGACCCGGAAGGGCAGCGAGGAGGCAGAACGGAAACACCCCGGAGTCAGAGTGGCACAAACCTATGTTTCTTCAGCTGCTCCCACATCTCCTCCTTCAGCTCCTCTTTCTCCTTCTTGGGGGTTGCTTTCTGCTCCTTGAAGGAAGCCTTCCCATCCCTCTTCCTCCTCTCCTTACACGTCCTCTCTGCTGGGCGCTGGTCCTCCTGGCGTCTCTTATGCTCTGTGTGCTTTCTCTTGGGAGACCTTGGCCTTGAGCTGCCCCCAGCCTGCTCCTTCCTGCCAGACTGGGCTCCTCTCCTGCCCGATGGCCCCTCGGCCTTAGGCGCCTGCTTCGTTGAGGGGCTTCTCTCAGACCTGTCACCTGTAGGGGCAGGAAATGGACAGTTCAGACCTCAACCACCTTGACTCCAGAGAGGAAGTGCCTCAGCTGTGGGACATCAAAAGTCCAAGCTCTGTGTCTTGAATTTCCCCCCCTTTCTTTCTTTTCTGCCTTATAATGGTGGCCTCATACCGTACCCAAGAGAGCAGACTTTGAAGGTTACCAAGGAGAGGTGGGGCAGGGTGGAGAGGTGAAGCAATAGGCTAGAGGGCTGGCTGACAGATTTTCATTTGTGTGAAGTGGAAGACAGGAATCCCTAAGAGGGAGACGTCACAGTGGGTGAGGGGAGGGCATGCTGCCGAGGGGTTTGATAAGCAGTTTCAATGGTTGCATATGAGACTGATGATATGTAATGTAAGCCCCTGCCTAATTCACAATTTAAAAAAAAGTTTTTCAAAAAGTCTTGTGGACCACAGTGGTGGTGGTGGGGTAGAGGGGGGATGTCAAGGAGTCCATGTAGAAAAAGAATGTTTGGAAACTGATTGTGGTAGCCATTGTGCAATTTTTCTAGATGTGATTGAACTATGGAATGATATGATATATGTATTAAATCCCAATTAATAATAATAAAGTCTTGTGGAATCCTCTGTTCCGGAATTAGAAAGATTGTCTCCCTCGTCTGACCTCTGCCTCCCCACCCCAACCCCCAAACACTGTAACTGAGTGGGAAGCATGTGTCTTCCTCTTGGCCGGGATTTGTAGTTCCTTGGGGTCAGAGCTGAGCCATCTGTTAAGGAATGAATTTTGTCCCCAAATATATGTGCTAAGGAACCCCGGAGGAGAAAGTCCTGGTAATCTGCTCCCCCCAAAAATTCAGCCGAGAAAACCCTCTGGGGGCAGGTCTCCTCTGCCACATGGGGTCAGTATGAGCCAACGATGAGCAACCACAGCAACAGGCAGGGCAACCTGTGAGAGCAGGACTCTGCAGGACTGCTTTGGCTTTCCAGGTGCGAACCTCCATTCCTGTGAATGTCATCTCCTCGGGAAATAAGGTCTTCTTTGTTATGCTGATGCGGTCAAAGCTGAATGAATTTTGAGACAGGAGGCGCTGCTTAGACAGAGATATGCCAGCACAAAAGCAGGAGTCAGCTGCTACCTGCTAGAGCCGGATGAATTCACCTCCAACTGGAACGCAGTGACGTGGAGGCGACGCCGATGCTCAGAGACCCTGTAGCACAGAGTAGCACTGCCACTTGGGTTTCCAAGAGTACTTCTTTATGGGAGTAGAAAGCCTCATCTTGCTGTTGGCAGTTCTGAACCGCTGGTGGTTTCAAACTTCTGATCTCCTGGTTAGTAGCCCAACTCGTAATCCGCTGTGAATTCCTGGCGATGAATTTATAAGCTTAGGAGAGCCAAGGAGTTGAAGGTGAAGATGCTGAAAACAAGATGCTTCCCCCAAACCAACAGAGAAGACCTTCCTCTAAAGCCAGGGTCCTGATTTCAGGAAGAAAAACGAGGCTTTCTACTCTTGTCAAGAGTTATTGTCTCAGAAACCCATAGGGGCAGTTCTGGTTTGAATCAGAATTGACTCGGTGGCAGTGAGGGAGCCTCCGATGAGGAGCCGGAAACCACTGGATGACAGTGAGCATGAGCTTTCAGCCCCAACAGCGAGAAATGAAATCTGTTCTTTACAACTACCCACTTGTTGAAGGGAGACGTCGGACAGGGCAAGATATGACAAAATAACAATTTATAAATTATCAAGGGCTCATGAGGGAGGGGGGAACGGGGAGGGAGGGGAAAAATGAGGACCTAATGCCGGGGTTTAATTGGAGAGGAAATGTTTTGAGAATGACAAGGGCAATGAATGTACAAATGCGCTTTACACAATTGATGTGTGTATGGATTGTGATAAGAGTTGTATGCGCCCCTAATAAAATGATTAAAAAATAAAATAAAATAAAATCAGAAAAAACAACAACACAAAACTACCCACTTGTGGCATTTTGGTTTCATCAGCACTCAGGGACAAGCAAACCCACGCACCCAAACCCACTGCCCTGAGTCCATAGCTCCTCAGGGCGATGCTAGAGCAGGACAGAGCAGCACTGCCCTCTTTGGGTTCCATGGCTGTCAATCTTCATGGGAGCAGGGAGCCTCGCTTGTCTTCTGAGGAGCCACTGATGGAGTTGAACGACAACACAAGGATGCCCTTGATTCCCACCGCCAAGGCCAAGCATGGCCTCTCTTCCGTGAGGCTGGACCATTGAGGCAGGAAGGGTCTGCTCAGGTACCCTTTTCCAGGGGCCCGGCATGAGGGAGATGACAGTGAACGAGGGAAGTAGTCAAGCCAGTCCAGGTTCTCGTCCTTAGCACTACTTGAGCGGATTTCTTTCTTTCTTTCTTTTTTTCCTCCTCACATTCCATAGCAAAAGGACATATAGGAATTCTTATTTATTTAGTTATTTTACGGTTTCATTGGCACCCAATCCATGTATCATGCAGTTCAATAGTTCAATCATATCATGAGGACTTATACAATCACTACCCCAATCAGTGTTTTAGAACATTTTCTTTCTCTTTTAAGGTTAGATCGCTTAAATGGATTTCTTAAACAGTGAACTTGATACCATTGGCAAATGGCCTACTTGAGCAGAATCTCTCAGCACTACGAACTGTTTGCCTAACAACCAATTTTAGGCACAAATATACAAATAGGGACTTTGATAGATTAAGCCTCTGGCAGATTCCTTCTGGCCACTCAATTCAAACATTTTCACTATCAGACAGAAATTATTATAAACATGATTATGGTGTATCAAACCAAGGTGAATATGACACTTGGTCAGTTGACCTCCCTCTTGACCCAATCTGAATTTGCTCTAAGCCTAAATATTTTTCACTTGTTCCATGACTGTTTGATTGCTATTTTACTTAAGTCCTATTTGGCAGTGGAAACGGCTCTAATTGAATTCGACACTTCACTGCAATGGGGACCCTCTGGTGGTAGGCAGCAAGTGACATCACTTACTAGACAAAGATGGGTATGTGGTTACTATAAGGGACAACAGAGTCAAAGTACTAATCAGAATAATTTGACTGGTATGGATTCGTGACATTGGCTATTTAGGCATGGTGTCCCTACAAGTGGAATGGATGAGAAACCTACTAAATATTCACTTGATCTGTAAAAGCAGAATTCTGGGTCAAGGGACTAGCAGTCATACTTGAATCACCAGAACAGTCACAGCCCCTCAAGTAATTGTTAAACTCCAGCTAGATTATAGGATCCACAACCCGTTGAATGAAGGGTACGCTTGGTCCCCTTGAGGCTGGACCCACTGCACTGCCAAGAATGTGTGTCGTTAATCCCCCTTCCAGTCTTCACCAAAGGGCTCTCCGGTTTTTCCTGAGGTTGACTGTTCACTGGGTGAAAGGAAATGATCATACTTTTTAGCATTACTAGATACATGACACTCATGACAGGCAGGAAGATACACAGTATGGGACATGTTGCGATATTCCTTCTAAAATTAAGGATAAGTCATTGCGTCTGGACCCTCCAATAGGTAAAAAGAGGCACAACATCTGGCTGGCCTTTTGGATTTTCGAGGCCCCGTGTCCTTCATTTAAGTGCACTACTACAGCCTATTTATCAATGGACTCATAAAGCTACTAGTTTTGAGTGGTCCCCAGAACAAGAGAAGGCTGTGCAACAGGTTCAGGCTGCTGTGCACGTCACTCGGCCAGTTGGGCCATGTGATCTGGCTGACCCAACAGAGCCGGAAGTGTCTGTGGTAGCCAGGGATGCCGTTTGGAGTCTTTGGCAGGCTCCTGTTAGTGAATCGCAAACCATCAGGATTTTGGATCAAATTCTGTCATCCTCTGCAGCTAATTACTCTCCTTTTGAGAAACAGCTTTTGCCCTTTTTTTTTTTTTTTAAGCTCTTGGCTTGTTACTAGACTCTAGCAGAGATTGGATGCCTAATTATGAACCAACTAAGTCACTATGTGGTCTGAGCTGGCCATAAGGAACTGGGTATGGTTTGTTCTAGAAAGTCATAAAATAAAACATGCACAACAGCCCTCCATCACTAAACGAGATTGGGCCTGAATATGATCTGAAGGCACAAGTAAGTCGCATGAAGACGTGGACCAACTGCCCATGATCGCCCCTCCTGTCATATCATGCAGACGCTACTTGAAACGTGTCCAATATGCAGACGCTACTTGAACCTGACCAGCAGAAGCACTGCAGCTCCTGTCTGCAGCACGGAAACGCCTGAAATACAGGCTGAACGTGGGAACCGTTTAAGAAGCCCTGCGTCAGAATTGTCTTGATAGCAATGGGTGATGGGAAATGCAGGTGGGAATGGAAATTAATCAATATAAAGCTTAGCGTCTGGGACAGCGCATGCTGTGTGCTCAGAATCAAGGCTGTAGTGAAGTTGGACACTGAAACATGGCCCAGTGCTGCCAGAAACACCTCAGCTTCATTAGGCATTTTACTTTGAATTACCTTTTGGTCTCAGTGCACTCAGAAACCTATTACTGTTGGACATCCCCTTGCAGAAGGGCTGCGGGGAGGTGAGGAGCAAATCGGAATGCAGTGTAGTAACGATGAAATATGCAATTTTCCTCTAGTTCTTAAATGCTTCCTCCACCCCACTACCATGATCCCAATTCTACCTTACATATTCGGCTGGACTGGACCAGAGGAGGTGCACTGGCACAGTGCACTGGCACTGGAACTGGAAATACAGTGAACCCAGGACAGATGAACCCCCCAGGACCAGTGGAGAGAGTGGCGATGGCGGGAGGGTAGAGGGAAGGAGAAGGAGAAAGGGGGAACAGAGGACAAGGTCTACATGTGGAACTCAATAAGGCAGACCTCCCTCCGGGTCTGTTTGGAGGGGGGCAGTGCCTTCCTCCTTCGCCCAAAAGTGGCTCACTACAATAAACTAATAAAACACAAAAGCCTCCAGCAGTGAAGGAGAAGAACTAAAAAGGCTTAAAAAAATACATCAAACTCACTGCCATCGA